TATGTCTTTTCTTCATATTGATCGAACTTTGTCAGTGATATTTATTAATGAATCTTCAGTGTGAAGAGGAAGTTTTCTCTTGACCTGTACAATGTGTACATATATCTTGGATTAGTCATTGTTTATTTAGCAATTAGAGAAAGTGGATGCAAACTATCATTAACCCTCCCAAAAGGCAATTATTGATGCTTTTAGTATTCCAGTGGCCTTCAAGCATCATATAACCAAAACCATATATATGATTTAAATATAATATGTTATACATTAGTATATAAATTTCTTATATATGTAATGAATTTGAGGCTAAAATAACATTTTAAGTGATCCTCAAGCTGATTTTTTTTTTTCACTTTAAAATTTCCATCTTCTACCTCAGTTCTGAATTTCAAAGAAAAAAAAAGAGAGAAATTAACTGAGATCTGTTTAATTTAGTCATATACCAAAATAATCTTCAAACAGATCTTTGGGTCTCTATTAAAACTCAGAAAAGATGGAAACAAAGAAGTAAGTTTATAACAAAGGTAAATAATACGGCATGTTTTCCACATACTTATTAATTATTGTAAATTTCTGATTTAATTTAATCTATTATTTATTTAATTTAAGATTGGAAATTTGTGCTTCCATTGTCATTTATATTCATCTCCCACTAGCTGGAAGAACACGTTACCCGGTCTTGTAACTTCCTTTTGGTAGTTTACACTTGGGTAAGGAGAATTGTTCTATCGATTTTTTACCTACACTAAATGTGTGGATAATAGCAAATTTTTCTTTTCATCTAGCTTCTCTTTTGCTCACTGTAATTTCAAGGACAGTTTCTTGAGATTTTTGAACAGAATCCTGATATTGCAAAGTAAACATTTTTTAAAAAATAGCGCTATAGACCTCATCATCCCTAAAAATAATGGTATTATGTTTACATGAAAAAATTGCTATGCTTGTAGTTCAATGGGTCATTTCATCTAAGAGGAAGACCCTGTGAAAATCTAACACCTGGAAACTCAAAAGGTATCTTTGATGCTTTCTCTCTGTTTTTGATATCTGAAGCTCTGGTATCTAACCAAATTTTTCTATTCTTACGTATGCTTAGTAGAAGAGATTTACATGAATGTATATGCTAAGAAAAAAGATTATTTTGTTTAACATGATTTTCTTCTTTTTTTTTTTCCAATAGGCTTGATATCACAACAATTTTAATATGCACTGAGAACATGTTATGGCCAATTTGTACATCTGTACAGAAACTTTTGTATCCTCACGAGTATATAGATGATAAAATTTTTAAAATTCATTCCCATTGTAATAATCTGTTTACAACCTTAGTCATTTTGACTTCACCATTAACAGAATTATACAAGTAAGTATCAAATATATTTTATTTTTAGCTATTATATATAAAATAACATGATTTGACAAAGTTATTTTCATACCACTTATTGAATTGTGTGCAGCAGCAAATAGAAATTTTTTGAAGTGCATTTTTGATATTGTGAATTGGGCCACTTTATAAAACTAACACCAACCTACAGGGGTTTCTTAATTCTCAAAATAATTTAGTCCCCCAAAAGCATTATATCTCTACTGGTGAATCCTATTCAGTTGTTAAGCTTCTGATACAATCAGGAGCATTTTGAGCTTCACTATTTGAGTTGTTCAAATGATCAAAATATGTTTATGGGTTAGTTATTTCAGTCATTGCCTGATACTCTGTGAAAAAGAATATTTTATCTAGTTGCTATTGAAATTATATCTTTTTAAAAATATTTTTTAGTTCTAAATTTTATATAAAGTGATTTGCACTAATAAAAAGAATTTTTTAATGGTTCTAAAATATGCCCCAATCTGGAAATATGCCACACTTTTAATTGATCTGCCATCAATTTTAATACTTTTAATGTTAGGATTAAATATTACATTTTTAATATTAGGATTTAGTGTCTCAGCTAATAATGGCAAGTGGAAATAGAAAATGTAAAAACATTTTATTTAGCTGTACAGATAAGTTTAGAGAAATCTAAAAATTTTGAACCACTTTTGATTTCCGGTTAATTTGATTCAAATTTGTAATATAGAAGAGGTTGGAATATATCCTATAATAAAACATTAATACCATTTTGTTTAAATCCTCCTCCAAAATTGTTACTTTTATCTTGAAAGATGAACTAATTGTATATTCTTAGTTTCTTAGATAGCAAAAATTTCACATAATATTTCTGTTTCTTAGGATAAATTAGGCAAAGTGTTCCTTTTATAACATTCTGATAAAGGTGATATGCAAATCATGATGTTCAATAAGTTTAGAGACTTTTGTCTCTAAGGGTAATTAACTTTGATTTTATTTCCCCTATAATTTTGGTCTACTCTGACTTTCAACAAAACCATTGTTTACAGATTTTTCCTTCTGGCAACCTATGTTGAGAACTAATTTGAGAAATGGAGAATTTTTTCAAAAAGAGGAAGAAATAGTGAGATAAATCACCATAAGGTTGAGATTATACACATAATGGTTCATAATCATAAAAAGCTCAAGTCTAAAGCCCATAATAAATCCTGGTAAACTAAACTGATTTACCACAGATGAAAAAATTGCTATGCTTGTAGTTCAATGGGTCATTTCATCTAAGAGGAAGACCCTGTGAAAATCAGGAACTAAGTTGACAAATTTCATGGATTGGTCATGGTGAGCAATATTGAATTTCATGGTTTGTCACAGATGAATTGAAAAATTTTTACCCCCCAATGCGTTTGTAAAACAAATAAATTATTATCAAAGATTGCATATTTTGATAATAATGTGTTAACATACATTCATTATTGTTAACCTATGGCCTTTTGATACATTTTTTTAACAACAATGCAAGTACTCAAATCTCTGTGATTTCTGCATTAGATATTGCACTGTAACCTCATTCAGCAAATTTAAATTGCTAATTTCAGCTAGAATTACAGAACATTTTACACCATGCACTGCCTCTGATTTTTCTTAATATAAAACATAGACAGCTATATTGCTTTGAAGAATGAACAAAAGTCTAGATATACTTTAATTCTTTTTTAATAGTTCTCAGTTCAAAAAATTTTCAGAAATTTTATTTATTCATGTTGATTTAAACATTATGATTGTTTTTCTAGAACATAAGTCTAACCCTTGAAATATACTTTGCTTTGTACTGTCAAGGAAAATCTACAGGGCAGCATGTTCCTCACCAACTAGGGAGAAATATATGTGTGTTGCAAGAACTGTATTGACTTACTGAGCTTCTTTTCACAGCCAGGATATGAAGTTGTCATATTAGCATTTTAGAAAAAATTGTGTCTATCTCACATTAAAAAATTAAGCCATATGCTTTGAAAAAATGGTGAAAGGTAACAATCAGAAATTGATAGTATTGAATTTTTGTAAACTATACCTGACATTGTAATTCTATGTAATATGCTTTTTTGGAAGATGACTGCCTTTATTTCTGCAGTTCTGACAGACAACTGAATATGTTTTTCTTTCTGAGCTTAGCACAGGACCTCTAAATCCCAGGGCAGGAATACATGATTTTAAAATATTTTCAGGAAGAATGAAACCTGTTTGCAAAAATGTGTGTTCTTTTTTAACTCACCTTTATAGATTTCTGTTAGAATGCTATAAAAGGAGTACTTTAGGTTTGTCCTCCAGGGAAAAAATCCTGCTGAAACATAAAATATTCACCATGTATTTTCCAAAATGCTTATCACTTGTAGTTCTTTCATAAGGGCCGAGAAACTGCATACTTAGAAGCATACTCACGCACATTTGCACAGATACCTACCCAGTGGATACATATGTTGCATTTGCTTGCATAGACTATTATTTTTAGTCTGTATATAGCAAGTTAAGAATTAATTCCATGACTTTTGGGTAAATCCAATTTAGTTTCAATTCAACAAACATCGTTGCCTCCCTAGCCCCTGTGATTAAGCACAAGGGATACAATAGTGAGCAAGATGTAATATTTGCCCACAAGTAATTTATGACAGTCTGATAACATTTTTAACGTTAAAATTAAATAACAAATTTTTATATATCCAAAATGTTTTGATTTGTCTGATCCAACCTCCTAGAAGTAGAAACGTTTTGAAAATTGACTGTCCTAACATTTAATAACATGAAAGAGTGGGATTTCAGTACAAGTGACAACATACCAGGCAAAGGCTGGGGTCATCAGAAATAGGCCAGAATGTTGATTACTAAACCAAGGAATAGCAGACTCATCTTGGGGTCCACTTTGTGTCTGTCACTCATAAAGCTTTTGAGTGACTAAATTCTAAGATATTCCAATGCTGTGTCCATTGTTCTGTTTCAAGCTAATGTTAGGTCTTTTCAGGTTGAACTAAAACTTTGTTTTTTATACTTCAAGAATGACTGACACAGTTTGGAAAATAGTTAGGTAGTTCCTCAAAATGTTAAGCATAGAGTATGTTTAGGTAAAATGTTAAGCATATGGTGGAATGACCCAGCAATGAAAACATTTGTCCACACAAATATTTGAACGGGAGTGTTCATAGCGGCATTTTTTATAATAACACCAAGTAGAAGCATCCCAAATGTCCATCAGCTGGTAAATGGAAAAACAGAATATGGCATATCCATACAGTGGAATATTATTCAGCAATAAACATAAATAAAATACTGATACATGCTGCAGTAGAATGAAGGTCAAAAACACTATGTTAAGTGAAAAAAGCCAGACACATATTGTTTGATTCAATTTATTAGAAGTATCTACAAAAGCAAATCCATAGAGACAGAATGTAGATCAGTGGTTGCCGGGGCTGAGGGGAGTGGTAAATAGGGAGTGACTGCTGATGAGTACAGGGTTTCTTTTGAGGATAAACTGTTCTAAAATCAGATAATGATGAAGGTTCTTCAACTCTGTGAATATAGTAGAAAACATTTCATTGTGCACCTTAATAGGTAAATTTTGTGATATGTGGTATTATATATCTCAATATAGCTGTTAAAAATGAATATACCCTGAATGGAAATATGGAAATAAAAATAAAAATACATATTTAAAATGTAAAAAAAAAAAAGTCTGGCAGAATACAAAATGATCCAGAAAGTGACATTCTTGTCTTAGCTATTTTGTTTAGATTCACTGACTTCCTTTGTCTACACAAAATCAAACAGCTTTATGTGTGGTCCTAATAAGGTAAAATACTGGAATAGAGAGCCAGACCTTAACTATGGAGAAGGCCTATGTCCTGAATCTTTGGCTGGTTTCTGCTTTACTCTTTGGTCCAGTCTTATTTTATTTTTCCACCATGTGTCCTGTTCTCAACCTGTCCATTGGCTGTGTACCATCCATGACTGCTCTTCACAGATGGTCTCCAAAATTCATCCTCCTTTCCCCTATGCAGGGTCTGACAATGCCTTCCATTCATTCTTTCTTCTTTTCACATTGTATTTACTATGGACCTACCATGGGCCAAGCATTGTACTGGCAATTTTCTAACTTCAAATCATCATTTTATAATGTCAAAGAGTTGTTTCCATCATAAGAAATTCAAGCTAGGGGGCAGAAGAAATGTGGGGAAACATATTACATTACCATGGGTTACATTGATTTCTCTCACTTAATGACATTTAGGCTTCAACTTATAGCTGCATTGGTAATAATGCTGGTTTTGAAAGCAAAGGAGTGACTTAGAATTCTTTTTAAAATATTGAAGTAGATTAAATTTGGTTATCTCTATGTATTTATAGGTAGTTGTCTGTGATTTTAGGGCCATTGGAAAGGCTCACACCTTCTCAGTTATCCCAGGTTTCTAGTGCTGTCTCAGTAGTCCAGTTTCAAACTAATTCTACTTCTTCTGAGGCTGTGGTCTTCTCTTAGTATTTTTATTTATTGAACACCTCCAATGGCTCAGGCACCATGGTAGATGCAGATGATACAAGAAGTCTGACCTGACCCCTCTGGCCCCATAGAGCTTACATCCTTGGGCTACCTTAATTCTATCCTGGAGGTTTATTCCATTAGCATCATATTATGGGACCCAGTTTTCCTGGGAGGGCAGCCAAAAGCAGAGTGGCACAAGAGAAGTATAAAACCCAGCTAACTCTTTTTAGCTCATCTGTTCTCCTTTTTGATATGCATTGGACTTATTTCATTCTAGCAGCTGGCTTCATAAGCTCAAGGAGCCAATGAGTTTTGTTAAGGAGAAAAAGAAAGAGCAGCATAAGCATAGATCAGAGAACCAAAAAAGAATGAATCTAGGACAGAACGCTGAAGCAGGATAGTGTGGTTAGTCCAAAGGCAGTATGATGTCAATGAGAGGGAAGGGGCATGGGTTAGTTGATGTCGCAGGAAGGGTAAAGGCAAGGAATTTTCTCAAATTCACTTTTTCCCTCTGAGCAAAGCTATCTCTACAGCCTGCTAATTTAGGAATGTGAAGAAATATATTCTGCTTCAATTTATTGACAATTATTTATTTTTAAAGGAGTATTTAAATTTGCTATATCTAAGTTCTTTGTCTTGTGGAAAATATAATTCTATGACTCATATGATTGTATTTTACTCTCCATTATGAATTATTTAGAGCATCCTCCCTCTTAACGGTATACCAAAACATCATTAGAGGTTATCTAATAGCTAGCTCGTAATTTCATTCCCCCATTGAGGCTTGTGGTCCAATTTTCACCCTGTTATACTCTCCAGAATAATGAAACTAATTTGGGATCTTGCTGTGGAATTAAATGCTCATGCAGATCCCACTTCCTCTGAGACCATAAAATCTGCCATAACATCTCTTATAGCCAAATAACCTTACTATTACCAGTATGATTGAGAAAGTGTCAGTGGAGTAAAAGAGTTTAGGTACTGACAGAAATGTTCTGGAAAATACTATATTGCCAGTGGTTTGTAGAAAGAAATTTTAGCACCAAATAGCCATTCCATTATTATTAGATCCTCCATTATTTTTTGTAGTCTGAGAATAAAACTGTAGCTAGGCAACCATTAAGACTATCAGGAATTTCATGTCAGTTTTGAGATAGTCATCCTTCTCAAAAACTATTTGTAACTGTTGTCATCATACTGATACCTTACGTATGTTGAGCTCTTACTGTGTGAAAGGCGCTTCGCTAAGTCTTTTTTATGCATTATCACACTTAATCTTCACACTGACCCTGTGAGGTGATTATTATTATTAATCTTCATTTTACTAGTGAGAAAACTGAGGCTAAATAAATTGCCAAGCAACATTACGTATATAATTAAAGCACCTCCAGGATACAAACCCAGGCCACTTGGCTTTGGTACCGCTGCACGTGCCCATACACTGCCTCTAAATGACGTTCAGTGACCCTACACCTGTGGTATGGAGAAGACAAAAAAAAGTTAATGTAAAAAGACTGGAGGTCGAGTTAAGTCCTATGAAAAAACAAAGCAAAATAAGGACGTAGAAAGAGGATGAGGTAATGAAAAGGGATATATTCTACACAGGGTGGGCAGGGAAGACTGTTTAGAGGATGTTCTGAGGTAGAACAATTTATGAAGCTAGCTGAACATGATGAGAGAGGACATTCTAGGTAAGACATTCATTCTTGGATAAATAAGGTGGCCCCCAGATAACTGGACAAATGGGGGCTTATGCAAAGGGCTCAAAGAAGCAGGCGGAAAGTGGCATAGGCTAAGATACTACGTATCTTGGTCCAATCCTCCAGTCCCTCCTGTTCTCTCAGCAACCCTCCATCTTTTGTCCTGTCCTTTCCCTCAGTCTGCCACTTCCTTTCAGCCTGCTGCTTGTCCTCCGTCACATTGCACCAGCACCCTCCTCTGCCTCACTCTCTTGCTGTTTCACGTCCCCTGCACCCTCACTTTCCTGGCCTCTCTCTCCAGACTCTGGTATGCAGAGCTGGAGGCTATCACTCAGCTCTCCTTTTGTGCCTTCTGATAATCCCACTGTTTGTCCAATCTCTGGGCAGCTCCTTCCTTCATTGTTCTCCACTTTGGTCAACTCCCGACCTTACCCCATCCACTCTTTGTTAGCAGATGGCCTTGCCCCTGTATTTCTCTGAGAAAATGCAGACCACTAATGCACTTTAACTTCTCATCTCTATTCTCAATGATTATTTTGGTCCCTACTCACCTCCACGACCTTTGATTGGTCTCTGATCAATGTGCCTTTTTTTTCCCCCAACTAAAGCAAGTACCTGAGCTCTTGACTACATTTACCTCTTACTCCATGGCCTCAAGGTTTTAAATATTCTTTCTATTTTCTGGCTTCTTCCCCTAAGCATCTCCTGTATTGAAAAACATTCCTCTTTTATTTTTTATTTTAATTCTCAAAATACATTGTAGTTGATTTTCATGCCCCTTTATCCGTTCCTTTCCACCCCATCCCCTCCCCCCCCATCGTATCTGTTCACTTGACTTAAATAGTTCAAGGAATTTTTGTGGAAAAAACATTCCTCTTTTACTGTCGTGCTTCCCTCCTAAAACAGTTTGCACTCACTGTTTGTACTGTTGTACCTACCTTTCACTCAGTGTGCTGCAACTAGACTTCTACCTTCACCATGCTCAACAAAACCACATGGGCAAGGTCTTCCATACATACTAATCTCTAACTCCAGTGGATTCTTTTCTTCTTACCCTTTCTGCAGCTTTTGACACTATTGGCCATTTTTTCTCCCATTAGCTTCCTACATCACTTTCTCCTGGCTCTTTGCTTACTTCTCTGATTCTTCCTTCCTGATTTCATTTGAGTGTTTCTTTTTCTCACCTCACCCTTTAAATTTTGATGTGTTCTAAAATTCTGTTCTTGACCATCATTTCATTTTACACTTTTTTTTTAGTAAATTCACCCATTCCTATGGCTTCACCATTATGCTGATGACTTCCACATCTTCAAACCAGATATCTTTTGTTGTGTTAAGTCAGTGAATTCAAGTTCCTACTGGATGCCTCTCTTCAGATACTTGAAATGTCTGCAGCCCCCTCAACATATCTAAAACTAAGTAAAATACCTGCGATTCATCCTAGGCTTCTCCCTTTTCCTTAACTTTCCCCTTCTCTCTTCCCCCTCATGCCATCACCAACCCCATGTCACCAGGGGATGAATGTTGTTAATTCTATTAATTTAACATTTTTTATATTTGTCTCCTACTCACTATCTCCTCTGTCTATTATCGTGTTATAGGTTCCTATCCTCTTTTGACTGGTCTATTGCAATATCATCTTCATTATTTCCCTTCTTCTAGCCTTGATCCCATCCCACCTACTCTCCTCACTATTGCTGAAGTGATTTTTCTAGATATAAAACTGCTAGTATTACTCTCATGCTATACACTTTTCAGTGATTCCTCGTCGGTACAAAGTCCAGACTCCTTTAAAATGCATATCCTGTGGTACAGGACCTAGCTTCTGCCTGCCTCTCTAGCTCATACAGCAGAATGCATGCAATGGAAATATTACAGCTGATTTTGAAGCCTATTTAAGGAATTTTGTTCTGACCTGAAATTTGGTGAGAAAAAAATGGTTTTCAATGAGGAGGTGATATATTAAATGTCTAAAAAACTTCCAAGTATATTTAATTGGAAGATATTCTATTCAGCAAGACAACCAGGGGAGACAAGGATCAAATTTGGAAAATGTGGATACAAGAAGCAAGATGTGGAGTGAAAAGATAGGGATGGGTTTTCAAAATGGAATTCTATTCTGCATATCATTTAGTACCAAAAGACACTATTGTTCCTGTACTATGTGTAAATAGAGACAGTACCACTTCAAATAATTCAATTTTTAAAATGTTCCCAGTCATCACTCTTATCTCTGTGTGAGTAAATATAGTCTCCTGTTATTATAAAATTTTTATTAGCCAAGCTGTCTACTAAAGATTTTATGTAACTAATCCTTTCTTATAATGTCAAGATTTGTAGTTGAATTTGAGCCAATCTCGAAAAACGTTAGTCATTTCCCAAAGATAGTTGTAGACCAGGTATTCTGGCCAAATTGTTCTAATTTTGAAATCATAGTCATGAATTTTACAATTAAATTCTCCTTCAATTAAATTCCCTATCTAGACTGTTAAGAGCATACAGAACTAATTATAAATTCTCACTAATTGTTTAGTATTTGTAAATCACTTTAAAGATTAAAAGAGTTACCTTCATGCTAAACATTTTTCCATTAATGAAACAAATATAACAAAATATCGGCATTTATTGGATTCAGTTTGAGGAGGATCCAGTGGGATATAAGAATACTACTTATGGGAGACATAAGTATTATGTCATTGTATTATTCTTTATGCATTTATCTTTGACAAATTTTATAATGTGACATTTTTAAAAAATTAAATGATAATGGCATTGTTACACCTCCCCAAATGTAAGTAAGGATTGTTATAGAGAGGTTTATAAAGCTCCCAAGTTTCAACTCATGGTTTTTCACGGCTGTATTGACTTGCCTGCCTGGCACCTGCACCACCTATTAACATAAACCCCAAGTGGATGAAGTGAGTACATTGTCCATTCTAGCTCAATACCATTTTGTGTCAAAATTGTGTAACTGAATACTAAGTAAAAATCAAAAGTTATTTCAATGGTCTTCACAGTTAATATTTCCCATATATTCTGAAATAATTATTTGTGTTTCCCTAGGACTTTTCAGCATGGCCTGGATGAGTCTGCTTCACATTCCTTAAAATCATTTTTCAACCAACCTTTACATTGGGTTTCGTGCATATCACATTTCTACCCTTCTTTACTCAGGTGAGAACCTCTACATGCCATACTATCTATAATTCTATGATTCCTTTAAAAATTTAATAGAAACTTTTATCCATGGATATAAATACATCTTACAAAAAGAACTTACAACTTTTAACAATAGGGAGGTAAGTAAAGAGCATTATTTCTCTTTTTTTTTTAGTTCAAGAATCCAAGGCACACTACTCATAATCATTCCATTAACTTATTGCTTTAGTGATGAAATGGAAAACTGAATTTTTGGAATTTAGTTCTATTTTAAAACATCCTTTTTGGTCTATGACTAGGGATTTGACAATTCTCAGCTAATTATCATAGACAACAAAACTGGATAGTTTATGTAACTAACTCAGAGCCTTAGGTAGAAGTTGAGAGAGAATTAACTTTTAAAATTATGAGTAGGATCTTTCACTTTTATTATTTAATTAACAGCATTTAAAAACAAGGAAATCATTTGCAGTATGAAATGTACTTCCAGAGTAATTTGATGACATTTTGTGGCATTATGTGGAATGGCAGTTTGACTTTTTGCTGAGTATGTCATTGGAATGTACCTTTCCTTGGTATCTGAGAATAAAAATATCATGTGTAGCTAAAGGAGATATTGTTAATCCCCATACATTCTATGGGGAAATACACTATCAGCAATTTCATCATCTAAATCGACTGACTGTTATCTTTCTCTTATGGAACAAGAATCCCACCCATATATAGAGGGTATTAAAACCTCATATGCAAGTCTTTATTGACATGACAAACATTACTGCTTGCCAACTATTTGCCTGCCCCTGTATCGGTAATGGAGAATCCAAGAATAATGAGACATAGACCCTGCTTTCAAGGACTAAAGTGTATTGTTATTACTTCACTTACCTGTAAAACTTTGTTAACATCTCTAATTAATTACTTATGATTGATTCCTGAAAATAGAATATCCTCAACACTCTGTCATATCAATATCCTGTCATCTTGCAAGTAAATATATTTTATGTCATTCAGAATTAAATAACCAACTCTTTCTACTCAGTATTGCATAAATAAAAATTAAACAACTGGATCTTTTACAGTGTGAATTAAGCAGACAAGCTGTATCATTCTCATGAGTTCTAAACTTCTAAACATATTTGTCCTCTATGTTGTTATCACATTTGCTTCAATCTATTTTTATTGGCTTCTTTTATTTTGTATCTGAAACCACCAGAGTTATTCCCCTTCTTACAGGTGTAGCCCTGTAAGACTTCTACTTGCAGGCTTGTGCAGTTAAGCCCAGCAAGAGGCCTGGGAAGTCAGCAGGAAAATGGGTTTATCTTTCAAATAGCCAATTCTTATATTTAACTTCTTTCTCTTTTCTATACCCAAAGCAAGCAAAAATGCAACAAGACATTTCTTTCTTTCAGCTTCTATTCATCGACGAATCCGCACTGCTATCCTATCACAAAGATTACAACACGAGGGTGACTATTCAGCCCATAGTGGAAATGCAATTTGATGCAAGTTTTCTGGAGGGCATTTTAATAATAAGTATCAAAAAAACTTAAAAATATTTTCTCCTTTATCCAGCAATTACATTTCTAAGAATCAACCATAAGAAATTAATCAGAGATGTTGACAAATATTATATGTAAAGATGTCCATCGAAGTATTATTTGTAAAAGAAAAAATGGAAATGCATCTTCTAATGTATGATATTAGACAAATCTGTTATGGAATATCCATATGATAGACTTCTGTGGAGTCATTAAAAGGGTTGGTTTAGAAAAATATTTAATGACATAGGGAGATATAGTTACAGGGAAAGTGCAGGTTAGAAATTATGAAATCATAAAAGCCAGCCAGATTTTTAGAGTGATAAGTGTGTACCAGACATGGTGCCAAGAGTTTTACCTACATTATCTCTTTTAAACTTCACACCGGTTCTGTGAGGTAAGTAGCTGAGGGCTTCTTTTATGGAAAGCAAAGTGATGTGTAGGTAGTAACTTTATGAAGAGAACAAAGCTGGGAGGTCAGGCTCTGAACTCAGCCTTTTCCATTCCAAAACTCAAGCTCTTAACAACTCCACCTCCACCTTTCAAAGGGAAAGCAGTTCAAGATGATGTTAACAGGTATGCATGAAAAATCATTGCCCTGCACAAACAAGTTGGTCAATTATTCAATATGTAAAGTCTCTTTTTTATGGCTTGACTTTTCAGGGCCTCAGATGTGCTAGTGTTCAGTGTTTATCTCTGCCATGGTCTGAATGTGTCCCCCAAATTTCATATGTTGGAGACTTAACCCCCAAAGCAACAGTGTTGTGATCTGGGGCCTTTGGGGAGATGTTTAGGTCTCGAGGGTTCTGCCCTCGTGAATGGATTAATGCCATTATAAAAGGACTTGCAGAAGTGGGTTTACTCTCTTTTGCTCTTCCAATTTCTGCCATGTGAGGGTGCAGCAGGAAAGCCCTCACCAGATGCTGGTGCCTTGATCTTGGACTTCCCAACCTCCAGAACTGTGAGAAATAAGTTTCTGTTCTTTGAAAATTACCCAGTCTGTGATATCCTGTTATAGCAACACAAAATGGACTAAGATAATCGGTCTCCAAAGGAGGGATCTAGTATGCAGAGTCTCCAAACTTGCTGGATGAAAGAACTCTTGTTTCCCAGGGGATGAGTACTTATTGGAAGGTGGGACACAACTCAGAAGTGCTGAACTATGCTATGCTACCACATTTAAAGCACACAAAAAATACCTATAGAAAAATTAATATTGAAAAAACATGTCTTGGGGGGTTTATAGTTTTATCTCCTTCAAAACTCCATTTTTCACCTTAGCAACTAAAATGAACTTTTCAAGGAAATACAGAAGTTGGATGACGACAAACTAAAAATATATTAGGCGAGTCTTTTTTGGAAAAGGGAAATTAAGGGAATCTTTTTTGGAAAGCTGAGAGGAGAGCTGACTGAAATAGTTAATATTATGAAGGATCTTAGTCATTAGTCTATTTGCTTATTTGTAACTGTACCTTATTTCAAAAAGGATTTAAGTCAGCTTTTAGCAATGTTAAGTTAATTAATTAACAGTAGGTGAGAAGAAAGGAGAAGGACATGAAATTAAGACTTAAAATAAGAGCTATGAATGGATCAACAGATGTATGGACCAAGCATTTGTCTATAAGCTTACTAGAGAAAACCATGAAGTATATAATGCATAAAACGGAATTTTTCATGTTGTCTTAGAACCCTGCAAATCAAGTTTAGAAGAGTTTGCTTTAGGAAAATAAATGTATTTTCGAAGCAAGAAGTAAATACTGTATTCAGGCTAACAATGTGAGTTGATTTAGAAAGGGTAATCAGTTTCATACTAAACTAAGGTATGTGGAGAATATGAGGAGTTTTCAAAAAGTTCACGTAAAGATTTGTATTATCTTTTAACTACATTTTTCCATGAACTTTTTGAAGTACTCTCGTAATCTGAAGGTTAGTACTATGACACCATATTGTACTCTCATTTAAATGTTCAAGAGAGAATATTGTCTGGATCAATTACAGCATGTTGCATTATAATGCTTTCTGTTATTTTCCAAACTTTCATCTTCACGTGATTCTTTAAACATTTCCAAATATTTTTTAGGTCTTCCTTAGCTAAGTAGGTTATAAGTACACCCTGAATCCAAGTAGCATGCTCAGTTTGAGTAAACAGACCATTCACTTTACACTGCTCATTTTCTTTTGTGTTGACAACATGATGTTTTGATTAATGGCCAGTCTGTCCTGAGCTGTAGATATTTCTTTCTACTGTGCTTTTGTTTCTATTATGCTTTTACCCAATGTAATCCTGTTTTTTATTTTTATATATATATATATTTTTCTCCCTAAAATTTTACTTCATCAAATTGTATGTTATATGAGTCTTTCCTTTCATCCATGTCACCAAGATGCATTTCTTCAATAAGTGCATTTTAAAAACTTTTTCCATGTAAGGCATCATGCTAGGTGTTAATGGTGAGGAAAGAGGCTGGCAGTGAAGTTGGAGACAAAGTCCCTTTCCTCATATTGATACCTGTTGGTGAGGAATGAAATCTCAGTTACCTACTTGACAACATCATACAATACCATTGTCCACTTCCTCCATCTTGGGATATTCTCCTGATTTCCTCCTGAGATATTCTCAATTTCCTTCTTCTTTTCCTGTTGCTACTTCTCTTTCTCCTTTGCAGGTTCATCTACTTTAACCTGGCCATTAAATATTGGGTGCTGCAGTGTTCTATCGTATAATTCTTCTTAGATGATGTTATCATTCCTGTGGCTTCCTGTACTCCCCGTGGGCTCCACCCCTCCCCCAAATTCATAGGTCTAATTTTAACCTCTCCTAAGACTACAGACCCATATATTTGTGGGTGCCAACCAAACATGAGTACCTTCTTGAGGTTTACACCTGGAAACCACAAAGACACATCAAACTCAGCATGACCAAAATTGAACTTAGGAAATATATTCCCCTCTTCTGTTATTTCCTATGTCAGCTACTGGTATGTCCATCCAATTGTACAAGCCAGAAATTAAGGAGGAAACCTGGGTTCTTCCTTTTTTCTCTCCTACATATCAAAATCCATTACTGAGTCTCATTAATTTTAATCCTAGTATCTACTATCCATAGCACCACTTTTGCTTTAATCTGTACCACCATCATCTCTCTCCTAACTAATGCAGTAACCTAGCATTCTTCCCATGTATATGTTGACTTCCATTTCCAATGCTCTCCAAACTGCAGCCAGAGTTTTCTCAAACCCAAATCTATTTTCAAAACTCAAATTTTATTATGTCATACTTATGGCTAAAAGCCTTCCACAAATTTCTATTTGTCCTTGAATATACACAAAAAATTTTAGCATATCTTATAAGATCTACAAAGGTGCAATTCTTACCCAGCTCTCCAACCTCTTCTGATACTTATTACCCCATAAACTCTGCTTTCCACACCTTAGCCTTTTTACATTTCCTTGCCATGCCCTGCTCCTTTGTGACACT